TTGGAAGGGCGTGGTGGGGGAGAGGGTGGCGGTGGGGAGGAGGAAGGTGGTTAGGATTTTGGGGACGGATTTCGAGAGGTAGAAGGTTGGGGCTAGGTGTGTGGTTAGGAAGGTGGGGGTTGAGAAGAGTTTCTGGGACGGAGGGTTAGCTTCGTTGTGGTTTAGTAGGGAGTGTGTGGGATGGGCTTACGGAGATGTTGGTGTTCCATTGGGATAGTGCGTCTTCTTTGGTGTCGCCCTTCTTCCCCTTCCTGGCTGGCGTGGTCTTGGTACCGCCTTCTAGTATACCTCTTTCCTCGACGCTCAATTGCTCGGGCTGTATTAACAAACACGCTTTGCATGTTTCTTGGAAGGCGGTAAACGTTGTTGCCAATCTGAGATGCACGTAGCGGTGGCTGAAGCGACTCTTGACACGCTTCTCGAGACTGTTAGTCACGTCGATGCGTGTTGTCAGTCCCAAGACCGCGATGGGCGCCTTTCGTGACTGTGCTATATCGAATAGATTGTAGAGTAACGTCTGGCGGGGGTGTTGAGCGAAGAGGTCAAACTCGTCCATGACGAAAACGACGGCTTTGGCGACTTCGTCAGTTACCTCACCAGTCTGTTCGGATGGGTGAGAAAGCAGAGCGAGCAGCGTCGCTAGCGTATCGGCATAGTTCTTTCCCGGGCCGCTCCCATCCTCCTCGATGTCCATCTCTTTCCCTAACTGGCGCCAGATCTCACGGAGTGCAATCTTGTCGTCTGTGTGGACAAAGCCGTTCAGCCGGACAACGTGGTATTGACCACCGTTGTCTTTGGAGACTTCGGAAAGGACTTTGTTGACGAGTGCCGTCTTTCCACTACCCCGGGCTCCGATGACGAGCATTGAGTTGCCTTCACCAGCAGTAATAGTATGCTCGACAAGCTGGTGCACAGACTTGTACTCCTCGTCTAAACCAACCAAAGGCGACGGACGTTTGCCGTTGATACGCTCCATGACGATGGTTTTTAAGAGATCAAGCTCGCGGCCCGGTGCAATGTCGCTATAGATGGTCGATAGAGCGAGCTTCTCCTTCTCCTTCTGTGCTGATGTAGGCTTGTTGAAGGGACTGGGTTCCGTGGGGTCCAGCAAACTGTCCAAGATGCTGTTCCCATCTACCTCCATATCATCCTCGTCATGGCCATTGACCTGCTCTTCCGCGTTCGACCAGCGTTCCTCGTCGTTGTTGGCGATGTGATCGGTGCGGTTGAAGCGTCTTCGTGCACTAGCGGTAAGCTTTCTGTTACTTGTGGGAGAGCCATCGCCGAGTTCGTCCTCGCTTTCTGGTATGGTTGTTTGCTCTGCTGCTGGTTTTCGTCGCTTGGTGGACTTGGAAGGCGTGGCTGCGACTGCCTCTTCCGACTCGGGTTCTGTCGCTGCTGCCTTCTTTCGTGTACTGGTAGCCGGCTTTCGTACGGAGCGTGGCTTCGAGGTCTTAGCGGCTTTGGTTTCGTTCTGCAGCTCATCCGTCTCATCCTCCTCGGGGATAGGACTAGGGTCTCTCTTCTTGCGCGCACTCGCTCGTGGGGCAGCTGGTTTGCGCGCCGACGCAGCTGGCTTCCGTACAGCCTTTGCAACTTTTGCAGGTGCGATGACATCCGTCGATGCCTCTTTCAAAGCGGCCCGACTTGCAACTTCCGCCTTTGTAGGTCGCCCCTTTCCTCGCTTCGGTGGAGTGTTTGTTTGCGTCTCCTCCTTGTCCTGCGCCGCGATTGGGGTGTTCTCTTTGAGCGCTTTCTGCGAAGGTTTGCGGACCCGCGTTGGTCGTGAGGATATTTCGACGTTCAATGCGCCCTCGATGTCATCGTAGATGTCAATCTCTTCTTCTGCCGCACGCTTTGTCGCAGTGCCATTTGTTGCGCCCTTCAGCGCCCGGCCTTTACGCACTGGCGCTGGCTTCTTTTCCACATTCTGTTCAGAATCGCCGTTCGTATTCGTCGTGGTTCGGGCTGCAAGCCTGCCAGAGGCTTTCCTGGTTGACGGCTTTGTTGACGGGCTCGATTCGGTGCGCTTCGGGGTGTCGAGCTTTCTCCGCTTAGAAGAACGTGGCGATTCGTCCATTGCGGTACTTGGGACGTTTTATTATCGTATATGTATAGTTGATGGCTGTTCGTTATTGGGAATGCATCGTGATGGTCGTATGCGCCAAACGCTTCGAGGTGGTGAAAGCGCTGGTCAAGGCGCGTCTATCCACAAGTCGCGTCGCGCTACAATTCCGCTTCCCGCCCGGGCGCCCCTGCATCATCCCAAGAGCCATCCACCCTCGCTTCTCCATATGCAGACGAGCACCAAACACCACACCAGCCGAGCGCCAGTACTAAGCGTACAATCCATATCGGACCTTAGACTGAGTCATCATGGCTCCGCAGTCGGGCTCTTGTCGTGACTTTTGCGCTTTCCGACGGGCCCAGGGCCTCAGAGCCCCACTCGACCGTACATCGAGCACGCCCTACAAGTGATTCCCAAGCTAACGGCGTTACTACTTATCTCAACATACCATGGAGACTGTAAATAAGTATGAGTCTGCTGCCATCGATTCAACATCAAATTTGAGCACTCAATGGCTTCAAATCATACCACCCAGGTCGATTTGACCACTTACCCACAGCAGCCTTCGGCGGCGACAACGGATATCGAAATACTACGCCAACACGAAGATGACGATCAACGTCTCAACAGTGACGATGGCTTCTCCCTTCCGCCCACCGATGGTGGTAAGGATGCCTGGCTCTGCCTGTTCGCCTGCTTTATGCTTGAAGCGATGATCTGGGGGTTTCCTTCCTGCTATGGTGTCTTCCAAGAATACTATGCTACTAGTGAGGAGTTCTCCGGTCAAAGCAACATAGCCGTTGTCGGTGCTTGCGCAATGGTATGTTCTACGAATCTTGGTTGGTTCCCATTCTGACACTCCTTTAGGGCATCATGTACATGGATATCGCGTTCTGGTTTGCCGTGCTCAAATACTTTCCCAAATTCCGCACCTGGGCCACACCAGTCGGTCTAGTTATCGTTTGTCTCTCCTTGGGTCTCGGATCTCTGTCAACGAGCGTAACGCACCTTATAGTCACTCAAGGCATCTTGTACGCACTCGGCGGCGGCCTCGCATGGACTCCAATTCTCTTCAACATCGAAGAGTGGTGGGTACGCAGAAGAGGCTTTGCCTATGGAGCCACCATGGCTGGTCTGGGATTGAGCGGGGCCATCCTCCCTCTTATACTCGAATGGCTCCTACACTCATACGGATTCCGGACAACTCTACGAGTATGTGCGCTCAGCTTCGTGGCCCTCAACTTTCCGATAGTCTTCTTCTTCAAGCCTCGACTTCCACTATCGCAAACATCGCAGTCCAGAGGTTTCGATCTGTCGTTCTGGACTTGTTCGAATTATCTGATCCTGCAATCCGGCAACATCATCCAAAGTCTTGGCTTCTTCCTACCAGCAATCTATCTACCCACGTTTGCTCGGTCTATTGGCGCAGGTAGCATCGAAAGTACCGTCACTATCATCCTCGTCAACGCCGCTGCGTTTGTCGGATGTCTATGCATGGGTATCGCTACCGACAAGTACCATGTGACGACCTGCCTTATGGTCTCTGCGCTGGGGTCAACAGTCGGCATCTTTCTCCTGTGGGGGTTCTCTACATCACTAGCGCCATTGTACATGTTTTGTATCGTCTACGGTGCCTTTGCTGGCTGTCAATCGAGCGCCTGGAGTGCAATCGTTGCAGACACTCAAAAGAAGCGCAGAGGCGCGGATTCTGGCTTCGTATGGGCGTGCCTATCAGCTGGGAAAGGAGTAGGCAACTTGTGCAGTGGTCCGCTCTCAGAAGCATTGCTACATGCTGGTGATTGGAGTGCAGGCTTTGCTTATGGCAGCGGATATGGCGCGTTGATCGCCTTCACAGGTGTGACCGCACTGTTGAGTGGCTGGGGATATGCTGCAAGGAGAATTGGATGGATATGATCCGATGCCTCTGGATGCCTGACGTAGTTCATTGCCGAGGTCTGCGTCCCGCACGGCAGTACGTCACACATCACGCCGTTACTACATTTCAAACACCAAGCAGGTCTCCCGATGCTCAAGTAGACGATGTGCCCGTTCCTGTTACAGAGCAACCATGGTCGGCATCTGGTTGCGCCAATCAGCTAGCGACATGCCCTCTTGGCGTCGAGGTACGCGTACGCCTGAAACAGACCCACCTCTACCATCAACATGCGATCGGCCCTCCCGCTCGCATCTCGACCTCTCCCTCGAAACATGTTGGCTTTCTACCCAATCTATCCATGGCCATCGCAGCCTTGCTTTTACGCAAATTACCGACTTGGCCCTTGTCACCCACCTGTTTACAGCTTTGTTTTATAGCGCGCACAACGATTCCATTGGAGAAGGTCATGAAACTCCACAGCGATCGGCATGAAATCCCCATACTACAATTTACGAATCAGGCCATGCAGACGCGCTTCCTGGCTAGACCTGCAGAGATTGACCTACCAAGCCCGCGCCGCCGCGTCTTCGCAATGTCTTGATCGATCTTATCTGTAACTAGCAGGTGGGCGCACAGACGCTTGCTCATAGTGATTCTCCCAGCTCCAGCAACTTCAAACGACTGGGCAATCTGGGGGCGGCGGGCCCGCGGGTATGCTGGTTTGAGATGAATTGAGTGGTTGATCATGGGTAGATCATGGCCTGGAAATCTCCGAAACGAAACAGAAGAATATATATCTAGGGCTCTCTGGCCTCAGTTTGTTGGATCATCAACACAGTTCTTCACAGATCAGTTGTCCAGCACTCTTTCTCTCTCTTCCTCTTCCTCATTCTCTTACACTTCGGGCAGGCCTTTCTTTGCTCTACCCAAGTTCACTCTCTCTAGATATCCTAGTGGTATATACATTCTTTTTGGCTGAGCCACTATCTTTACATTTCAACACCTTCAGCCTCAAAACATCCACACGGACTTTCACACGCTACTACTTCCATCAAGATGAAGTACTCCGTCCCCGTTGTCCTCGCTCTCTCGAGCAGCGCTGCTGCCTTCCCCCTCGGCGACTACCTCGACGCCATCTTCGGCACCAAGGACACCCGTCAGGCACCTCCTCAAGCTCCTCCTGGCTTCCCTTCCATGGGCATGCCACCAATGGGCTCTCCCACCCCAGGTTTCCCTCCCATGGGTCCTCCCATGGGAACTGGTGCCCCAACACCTGGCTTCCCCCCTATGGGCGCACCAACACCTGGCTTCCCCCCTATGGGCCCTCCATCCGGTCTCCCTCCCATGGGCGCACCAACCCCCGGATTCCCTCCCATGGGCCCACCCATGGGCACCGGCGCCCCAACACCCCCCGGCTTCCCCATGCCCATGCCCACCGGCGGAGCCTTCCCAGGCGGTCCCGGCGGCTCCAGCAACATGCCCCCCTCTTGGCCCGTCCGCGCGCGCGCCGCCCGCAACCTAGCCATCGACTACCAGCTCGCCCCACGCCAAGGCGGCGACCTGCCCCTCCCTTCCTTCTCGCTCGCAGACCCCGAGAACGGCGGCGCACCTACTCCCACTGAGTCCCCCTCCGGCGGCGGTGAAGAAGGCCCAGGAGGTTTCCCGGGACTACCCACTCCCACGCCTGGTGCTCCCGAGGGCCCCGGCGGCGGATTCCCAGCGCCCACAGGCGGATTCCCGGGTCTGCCTACTGGGGCGCCTGAGGGACCTGGTGGACCTGGTGGACCGGGTGGTTTCCCGACGGAGCTTCCTTCTTTCCCTATGCCGACTGGTATGCCTGGTGGATCGGGTGGTTTCCCTGGTCTGCCTGGTACTGGTATGCCTGGTCTGCCTACTACCATGGAGACGATGACGCGTGGACCTAAGCCAACTGGTATGCCTGAACTTCCTGGTCAGGAGGATGGTCAGCAGGGTCCTGGTGGTGACAACGGGTCTGGTGGCTGGTGGAGCTGGCTTGGTGGATTGTTTGGCGGTGGTAAGGGAGACGGCGAGGGTGCTGGTGCTGGTGAGGGTGAGGGTGCTGGAAGTGGAATTGGCGCTTAGATGCCCGATACCTCCTGACATTTGGATGATCAGAGGAAGGAAAGAGAGGATGAAGACGTCTTGATGGCGCGATTGGTTTCGATTCTTGTCAAAATACTTTACACTTTCACTTTACTACAAAGAACTCATACATGCCAATACGGCAGAATGACAAACAAACAAATTATCTCAGCATTTCTTCCACACCATGTTCTCAAGTGTCTTCGATGAACTCAACCAAGTATCAAAGGTGAAGATAAGATGCAATTATCTATATCAACAACATACATACCACAATGTTAAAGAACGTAAATCATCAAAATTGACCGCCGCCGTTGAGGGCAGCAATCGGGTATCTCAGAAAGGTAGGCCATGCCTACATCACCATCCTCCTCCTCCACCACTAACTATGCTTCTTGAACTTTTTTAGGGTTCCCGCACCATAATCTGTATTTTTTGCGTGACGGTCGTCGGGTTGAATTGACGCCTCCCAGATGCATATGCTTATGCTTTGTAATGCTTTCACTTTTCTTGACAGTACCTATTATAACCGAATTGCGCCGAAATGTGAGAAGTCGGAGAATTTTGCGCTTGTTGAAGTGCACGAGTCCTGTTGAAAAAGGAACTCTGTTGCGTATGTTGTTGAAGACCGAAGTGGATGTGGAGATTGTCCGAGGGAAGCTCCTCAAGAGTTGGGTCTTGTTGTGTTGAATACAGTGAGACCGGGTGTCGTTGTAGAATCCAAGCAAGCCTAGTTGGACATTGCAAGGCTCCTCATGCCATTGGTGACCTCGACAGCGGCTGCTTTGGCAGCGTCGATGAGGCTTGGGTTCTCTTCTTTGCGAGGTCCAACTTTCTCGCCGTTTGTGCCGTTCACGTTGCTTTCGCCGTTGACTGGCTTCGCTTCCTCTCCGTTTGTGCCAGGCACGTCAACGCTGTTGGGGTCGACCAGGGGCTTGTCCATGTCCTTGACTTCTAATCCGTCGAAGATGGGGAAGATGCCGCGAGTGGCGTGGAAGTCGTTGTGTACTGTAGGATTTTAGTTGACTGAGCTTGATGGTTAAGCGAATATACTCACCGATGTTCAGGAGGTACCAGGTGTCTACAACATCCTGGATCACGTAACGTGAAGGACTGACACCAGCATGGCAGTTGGCCCACTGCTGTCCGAGACGGTAGAATTCGTCCTTCCAGGCGAGGAAGCTGACTGTTTCGACAATGGTTGGCTGCACAATCTCCTTGCCTGGGAAGACACCCCATGTAACAGCATTTGGTCCTTCGTTGGGAGCGTTCGTCTTCAAGTCGCCATCCTTATTGACCGCGTAGTATGTGAACTCAGGGTCGCGCTCGAGACGTGTGATGATCTCCGAAATATGCTCTGGAGAGACAAACACTTCTAGGTATGCCTTCTGGTAGACGTAACCATTGCGTGGACCCCAACCAAAGACAGGGTCCGAAGACTTGGCTCCGTTGACAGCAGGCTGGGAGTTGATGGTCAGGAAACCACGACGGTTCAGATCGATGAGATCATCCGTGATCGATCCCGCTTCAGTGGTGATGGGCTGTTCACTCCACGGCAACGAGTCGAGCTTTCCCTCCATGTAGCGTACAAAGAGTTCGGACAGATCCCTAATCGACATTGGTGTGCCCCATAGCTTGATGTTCTGCTCATTGGTTCCCTTCAGACCGATGCCATATGAGTCCAATTCACCGAACGCAGGCGAGCGAGAATCTCCCCAGCGACCGTTCGGGAACTCGTCCCAGTCTTGTGTACGTGCAATGTACGATCGGTTGCGGTTGCGCCAGAAGATAGGTCGCACGTTCTCGTCGCGTCGGTTGAGAGCCAGGGAAGGCCGCCACGGAAGGGGCTTCTCTAGCGGGGACTCGGGGTCTGGTAGGAGGTCTAGTTCTTCGAGGACCATGCGGGTGGCTTGTGCGAGGTTCATGGTGTAGCTATATGGGAATTAGTCGGCGATCTTCTACTCTCGAGCACCTACTTACAAGTGCAGATGTATGATACCAGCATCGATCAGCCGCCGGCACATGTCTGCGACCAGAGTCTTGCCAACTTCACGGACTTCGACGTCGTCGTTCTTGACAGGCTCCAACGCCTCAGTCCAGTTCTTGGGGATGTTGCACTTGGTCCATTGGGCTCGGCGTAAAAATGCCGCGTATGTGTGGATCGGCATGATACCAGGAATGATGGGAACGTCGATGCCCTTGGCACGAACCTTCCTGACCCACTCAAGGAAGAGGTCGGTATCGTAGAACATCTGTGTGACAATAAAGGTTCCTCCAGCATCCACCTTCTCCTTGAGATGGTCGATGAGCTCATCGACGTTGTCATTGTCGTCGCTTCCTTCGGAGTAGCCGGCCACACCAATGTCGAAATGGTTTCCGTACTTCTCCTTGATGTATACGACGAGGTCCTTGGCATAGCGGAAGCCACCTGCTGTCGCCTCCCACTTTTCTCTCTCACGCGGCGGATCTCCCCTCAGGGCGAGGATGTTGGTGCAGCCGGCATTGTATGCGTCGCGGAGGGCGTCGTCGAGCTTGGACTTTTCCATGTCGGTGCACGTGAGGTGCATGCAGGTTTCGAGGCCGTAGACGGATTGTGCGACCTTGACCATTTCGCAGGTCAGCTTGGAGTGGCGGCCACCGGCGCCCCAGGTGAGATCGATGAACTGTGGACCGAAGCCATGCATGCGGTCCATGCGGTCGTAGAGGTTTTGGACCCCCTAGATGGAATTAGCTTCCTGCTCCTTGTGCGAGGGACATCGGGGTGCGGCGTACCTGTGCTGTCTTGGGCGGGAAGAATTCGAAGGAGAAGGTTGGCTTTCCCTCCTCCCGCGCCTGGGCGAGTTTCTGAGAGATGTGCATGATGGAGAGGTGTAGGACTACTAGAAAAAGAAGAGGGAGGAAAATGTAGAGTCTGCGTCAATTCTCCCGACGTTAGTGAAATGTATATGAGAGATATGCACCCCGCGGTGGAATTCGGGAAACGTGCAAGGATGCTGCGTACTGCGGTGTTGACGAGCTATCCAAAGTATCGTTTGCGGGCCCAGCGATCTGCGAGTGTCCGCGACATGTACCACTGCTGTTTGCGGTCGGTCAGTAGGCGAGAGGTGAGTGATGCGTTGACTCGGGATGTACAGTTTTCCTTAGCGGAAGGTCGACGTTGAAGCGGTTAGCGCAGTACGGAGGCACAATCGGAGCCCTCCAGCCCTGCCAAGCGTGGCCCATCTTCGGCGGTCTGCCATGGCTGCTCTGGCACCACTGGACGATCCGGTGCAGGTGGCTATACGTAACATGTGCATGCGGTGGGCGCGCGTCGTCACAGGAGATGCAGAGAGCGCTTGGGCAGGCCGCAAGGCGCGCATATTATAATGTGGCATTGAATGTGGTAATGGATGTGGCATGGAGCCCCACAAACGTGTCCCGTCCCACACGAGCTCCCCTCCACCGCTGGTGGCCGAATTGTCCCTTCCCCGGGTTTACCCTATGCGGTAACCCCGGATCATCATCGTTGCGCAAGAGTGTGTCTAGGAAGCTGCCAGACGCTCTACAAGTAACATTATTCATACACACATACACAGACCGCAGCTATGCCGCCCATCACGCGCCCCCGTCGCATCGTCGGCGTCTCGCTGAAGATGTACTTCGACCTGCCCAGCACCCTGTCCTACGTCCGCGGCGCCTTGCAGCTTGACGGCGACGCCTGGAACTCGCGCATCGATCTCTTCGTCATCCCCGACTTCGTCTCGCTCACCGAATCTGCCCGCATCCTCGAGTCCTCGTCTATCATGCTTGGCGCCCAAGATACCATGTGGGAGGACAAGGGCGCATACACCGGTGAGGTCAGCCCACTGGTGCTGCGCCAGGCAGGTGCGCGCATAGTAGAGATTGGACATGCGGAGCGGAGGGCCATATTCGGCGAGACAGACGAGACGGTCGCGAAGAAAGCCGGTGCAGCAGCGAGGAACGGCCTCATACCGCTTGTGTGCATTGGCGAGAAGACGCACCACAGCGTCGCATCAGCAGCTGTCGGTGCAGCTATACAAGAGTGCAAACCCCAGGTCATGTCAGTGCTGGCTGCCGTCCCAGACGACACTGAGGTAATCCTGGCCTACGAGCCTGTCTGGGCCATTGGCGCAAAGGAGCCCGCCGACCCCGACCACGTTGTCAATGTTACGAAAGAGCTTAGGAAGCTGGCTGCTGGCAGAGCGGGCACCACAAGAATCGTCTACGGAGGGAGTGCTGGCCCTGGCACCTTCGCGAAGATTGCCGAAGGCGTCGATGGCTTGTTCCTGGGTCGTTTCGCGCATGACATTAAGAATCTCAAGAAGGTAATCGAAGAAGTTGGTGGAGCTTGAGGTCGCTATGGATGACCATACGGCCGTTGAAGCTCTCATTCTTTTTCGCATGAATCATTCAGCGGGGGATCGGAGTCGGGGAAGGAGGAACAAGGCGAACAAATCAGCCGGGTGAGATTACTTATCTTCTCATCACCACCATCCATCTCGTCATGTGCGCAGGTATAAGAGAATGACGTGCCGGCTTGGTACTTTCTCTCAAACTGATCCATCTCATCTTCTCTGAGAGCGCGTGCAATGCACCTTCCTATTCTATCAGCACTTCTGTTGACGTTGCATCATGTTGACTGGCGCGGAATACATGTCCATTCGCAAAGACAGTATCCAACTAATGACTGCTGAACGCAATCTGCTCGATTCGATCATCGGTATGTTTCGCGATCATGGCGAACAAGTTTATGACAGTCGTTCGGCACTAGGCAGGAGCGACGCGCACCTGGCCATGCTGAGCAAGTACGGGGTCCCCAGGAGCAGAAGGTGCGAACGACGACGAGGAGACTTTGAGCCATCGAACATCCGAATGTACCGACGATCTGTATCTCCTTGTACCTTCTCACCAGCTTTCGGCACTTCAACATGGAAAGCACCGAAGACCGAAACCCTCCGAAGGCTACCCACATGAACTTTCAACGCCGCATGATCCACACT